TCGCCGAAGGGGGGGGCGATAATCCTCCCGCCAAGCAGCGTACGGGTTCGCTATCGAGGGCCTCTGGCCGATCTATCGACGATGCATCGCCGGTTCAGGCTCGATGCTTGAGCCTGGACCATTCCTCTTCTGACGTTGCCCCTCAGTAATCGAATCAGAAAAAGGGGCACAAACATAACCTTTGGGAGGTCCTCGCGGATTTCACGAACCAGCGCTGGGCCCCCTTGGCGGCCCCTCCAGCGTCGCCCCTGGCGCGCTCCGTGCGCCAGGAAGGGGGGTCCGGCGCCGATCCACTATATCCCGCGGTCTGGGCTCCCTGGCCGCGCCCCCACAGATGCGTGTTTTTGTTTCGCGGATGCCCCGCGCGGAGCGTGTGCATCCGACAGCGGATCCATGGGGTCGCGCCCCAGAGTCCAGACCTGGTATGGACATGTTTGACGCTCGGGAGATGGGGTCCTCGTGGTGCTCGTCGTCGTCGTCGTTCGTCGTCGTCGTCGGCGTGGGCGCCGGCGCCAGCGTCCTCTTGCCAGACGCGCTGTGATTGGTCAGATACTCGGGAGGAGCACGAGCTGTCCCTGCAGGGGCAGGGGAATACTCGCACCCAGATGTGAGTCGGGAGCAGAGAAACTGTTCAACTGTGCGCCTCCCTGAGATTCGACGTCTCGACCAAAAATCGGGACACCGTTCGAAATCACGACCAGAGCCCTAGGCCGTGTTTCGAGCCAGAACGAACTGTGAGGCTACCCGGAGCCCGAAGCCCGGCGAGAACGGCCGTTGTGAAAATTGAGCGGCGATAAATGGGGGGGGCGATGCATGGGGGGGGGGAGCGAGGGCGGCAGGAAAGAGGCCTTTTAGGGCCTTTAGTCGGGCGGGTCTAGGACGAGGATACCCCGTTCCAGAGCGTTCCTGAGAAGGCGGCGGCGCCCGAGACGTCCTCCAGAACCGACGGATCTCAGAGATGAACGGTTTACCCTCACCCGAATTTGTCCTCGTCCTGGCTCCGTCGTATTCAGGGCCCGAAGAGGGCACATTTCTTTCCCTCCTTGTTCTGACGTGGCAGTCTGAAGGTGCAAGAAACGGTTCCTGCGCTGAGACTCGTTGCGCCTGTGGGGCCCGTCCGTCCGCCAGAGGCAAAACTCTGCAACACCAAGATCTGAGGGTGCGCCTTCCTGTCGGACCGCTTGCTTCGAGTAGGACATGGACTACAGAATTGCTGAACACCGAATTTGATGTTTCCTTTCGAATCCACAAACAAAATAGTGGATTGGGCAGGAAAAGCGAATTTTGGGGTAAATCCATTCTGTAGTCGATCCCCTACTCGATCGCTGGGCGCCTTCGATGCCCGAGGGGGGCGCTGTCGCCCTCGTGGCCACGGCCAGGCGCAGCTCCTGTAGATCCAGGGGGGGGGGGGCATCCTGGCTGGGAGTTCGGGGCTCAAGTCTAGGCCTCCCAGAGGGGGTCGGAGTTCGGATGGGGGTCGAAGAATCGCGCCGCATCGCGGATGTTTCGGCAATGCGGCTCGACGCGGAGCCCGACTTTCGCCACGCCGACGGCGCTAATGCATCGCCGACGTCGCCGATGCGTCGCCGCTGCATCGGCGGGCGATGTATCGCCGATGCACCGGCGATGCAGCGCGATCCTCCGACCCCATCTGCTCAGACCCCATCTGGGAGGCCTCCATCAAGGGACAGAGGTCAATGCAAACGGGGGTCAGCCAGAGAGCGCCGGATCTTGCAGGATCCTGCAGGGCCAGGGTCGCATTGAAACTCGGGTTTGGGTGCAGGATCCTGCAGCCTGCAGGATCTGTGGGAAAGCGTACAAAAACAGTCTGTGGAAAACACACACATGCACATACACCAACACACAACAACGCAACAACACACAACACACAACACACGCAAACAAACACACACACACTCACACAAACACGCACAGTCTGTGGAAACAAACATACACACACTCCACAAAAACACTTCGCAGGATCCTGCAGGAGCCTGCGAAGCCTGACTGACCTGGGTTTGCAGTGACCCGGGTCAGCAGCTCCCCGCGGAGTCCAGAGCGCCGGACCGGGCCAGGTCCCGCGCAGGGTGCGGTGGCCGCGCCGCGTGGCCTCGGGTCTTGGCGTGGCCCTCTCTTCACAGCGGGCGTTTTCGCACGGTCCTGGCACCGAGGGCCCTAACGGATCGATCTGGCGCGAAAGATGGCGCAGAAAGATGGGGTTGGGGCTCGCGTCGTGATGTCACACGCTGCTGCAAGTTTTGACGCCTCGCACATCCTCACCAGCCGTGATTTAGATCGGTGCGCTGTTGCTTCGCTTCTTGACGGCGCGCAGTTGCTCTGTGTCGCTCGCGAACAAAAAGTGTCCCCACCAGCCCATGCACTCTTGGACTCTTGGGGCCCTCTTGGGGGCTCATTTTGGAGGGTCTTGGGGCCCTCCTGAGGCTCCTTAAAGGGGTCCGCGGGGCCTCTTGGGGCCGTCTTGGGCACCATGGCTCAAAAAGGGAATTGGAAGGGGGGGGGGGCAGATTCAGGCCCCCCTCGGAGGCTCAAGAAGGGCGTCTTGGGGCCCTCCTGGGGCGTTCTTGGAGCGCTCCAGGGCTCTCTTGGGCCCTCTTGGGGCCCTCTTGGGCCCCTCTTTGGGCTCTCTTGGGCCGTCGCGGGGCCATCCTGAGGCCTCAGGAGCCCATCTGAAGCGAAAGTGCGATAAGGCAATATGTGTATATATATGTGTGTATAGGTATCTGTATATATGACATATATACACACATACATACATACATACATACATACATACATACATACATACATACATACATACATACATACATACATACGTACGTACGTACGTACGTACATACATACATACATACATACATACATACACACATATACATACATACATACATACACACATACCTACATACGTACACATATACATACAGACAGACAGACAGATATACATACAGACATACAGGCGTACAGACATACAGACATACAGACATACAGACAGACAGACATACATACATATAGCAAGGTGTGTTTGAGGGATACTGGCCTCTTGGGGGGTCCTTGGAGGGCTCGGAGGGCACTTGAAACCGCCTTTGGGCCGTCTTGTGGCGTCATCGAGGCATGTCGGAGGCTGTTTGGAACAATGTTGGAGGCCATTTTTGGCTCTCTGAGGCCCTCTTGGGGCCATATTGGGCCATCTTGGGCGTTCTAACTACCCCTTCCCCCTCCCCCCCCCCCTCCGTCACTCCCTTTTCTCCTCCTCCTTCTCCTCCTCCTCCTCCTTCCTCCTCCCTCCTCCTCTTCCCCCTCCTCCTCCTCATGTTTCTCCTCCCTCCTCCTCCATGTTTCTCCTCCTCCTCCTCCTGTTTTCCTCCTCCTCCTCTCCTCCTCCTCCTCCTCTCCTCCTCCTCCTCCTCCTCCTCCTGTTTGTTTCAGACATCGAACTGTGGCTCAGGGCGTGAGTCGTCGTCGTCGTCCTCCTCTTCCTCCTCCTCCTCCTCCTCCTCCTCCTCCTCCTCTCCTCCTCCTCCTCCTCCTCCTCCTCGTCCTCCTCCTCCTCCTCCTCCTCCTCTGTCCTCCCCCCGGGCGCGCCGCGCGACCTTTCGCGTCGCGCCGCAGGAGGCCCGCCGCGTGGGCGTCAAGCGGTGGCAGCCAGGGCGAGGAGCCCCCGCTGCTCCGGCCCGCGGCCCCGGAGGCCACGGGAGGGTCGGAGGTGCTTCGCCCGTGGCCGCAACGGTCGCTCCGAGGCCCAACGCAAGATGCTGGTGCGCCGAGTTTGTCCTGCTGAGCCCGCTGCTCGGGATAGATTGGGCGGGGGGGGGGACTGGCGGGAAGGAGTTGCGGACAGGATCCCAGCGCGCTCGAGGTCACCCGAAGGGTACCCGGAGCCGCCTCGGATCCGAGCGCGGAGAGAGTCCCCTCCACGCATCCGCCATGTCCGGTTCGCCTCTGACGTTTTTCCGTCCGAAGGCGAGAGGAGGGTGCGTTCCCGAAGCGACGTCGTCGCTGCCGCCTTTGCTGCTGCCGATCGAATTCGCCCTCGCTCCTCCGATAAGCCCTAAGCCACCGTGCAAGGCCCGCCGTGTGGCCGCCGTGGGAGCTCGACTGCGCCCAGTGCGCACCCCGGGGCCGAGTTGCCCGAGCAAGGTGATCTTCCTCGTTGTGCGACCAGGGGGCACGAACTCTTCGTGGCCCCAGGCAAGGTTGTCATGTGTCTGGTGTGTGGCGAGGGATTTCTACGGGGAGAGCGCCCTCCCTTTTGGACCCTTGCCCCCCACCCCCAGTATCCAAGCGGGGTCACTCCCACATCCATAGGTTTAAGACGAATAGGCATCCTGCTGATCTTCATCGATTTGAGAGTATCTCGGGGCAGAGACGTTTGCAGGTTGCCGACCCAGAGGTTGCCTGGCTTCGCCTAGACGCCTGAAACATATTGATTAATTCGCGAATTCATAACAAGTCTGAGATTTTCACTTTCACTTACTTGTAATGCTCAGCTGCGCTGTGGCGCCTCGCCGCCGCGATCCCCAGGGTGGGCATCGAGTGGTGTCGTTAGCAGCGCTCGGCCCGCTGCCAAGGCAGTGGGCCCGTTTGAAAGTGGCCGTTCGTGCTCTGCGCGACGGATCCCTTCAATGCTGCGTACTCCTCCTCCTCCTCCTCCTCCTCCTTTTCCTCCTTTTCCTCCTTTTCCTCCTCCTCCTCCTCCTCCTCCTCCTCCTCCTCCTCCTCCTCCTCCCCTTCTGGTAAGGCATCGGGTGGCGCACAGGCAGGCCTCCCGCGTGGTCCCAGCTGGCCCCAAGAGGCCCCCCCGAGTAGTCCAAGCTGGCCTCCACAGGGCCCCCGAGTAGTCCAGGGCGGCTTCCGCCCAGGACTACTTGGGAGGGCCTTTTGAGGCCAGCTGGGACTATTCTGTTGGAACAAACAATGGCGTAAGCATAACAACTCGGAGGTCCGTGCGGATGTCTTGGACCGGCGCTGGGGCCCCCTGGCGGCGCCTTCAGCGCCGCCCCTGGCGCGCTCCGCGCGCCAGGGAGAGGGGCCCTGCGCCGGACCTCAGAGTTTCATGTCTATGCCATTGCTTGTTTTTCTAAACTCGGTTGGGCTTGTTGAGGCCAACCGGGTTTACTTGGGGCGGCTGTCCTTGCGCAGACCGAAGCCTTACCATCTTCCTCCTCCCCCTCCTCCTCCTCCTCCTGCTCATCTTTCCTCCCTTGGTTTTCCTAGGATCCTCCGAATCGGGTTGTCCACAGGGTGCGTCACGCGGGGCTTCAGAGCCTGCGGGTTCGCGAGCGCTCCGACTCGAGCATCCTCATCCCCAGAGTCTGGTGCCATATCCGGTGACTGACGCCGTAGGTCGTGATGCGCTTCTTGCCAGAGGATCTGGGCCTGCGCCGCTATGACTCTACAGGCTTACGCCACATCCGCCGACCCCTTCTGTGAGTGTTGCGAGGCCAGGAGTTTCTGGCCAGCGGCGTCTTGTGTGAGGGTGCGGTGTCGCGCGCGGGTGGTGGCAGATACGTAGGGGGTCCAAATGTTTGCGTGATGCCGGTGGTCTGGGGCGTGTTTTGCGAGCGCTTTGCGTGCTGTGCACCCGGGTGCGGGGTGTCCTTCTGGGAGGTCGGCCTTTCGACCCGCAACCAAGTGGAGGAGCACTGGAAGACGAAAGGAGCAAGAGTAGTGTGTGGAAGCTGTGATCAGCGAAGCATCGCAGCGAAAGATGTGGCAGATGAATCGAAACGGGTGAAGAGGCTGTTGACGTTCGCAGCGCGCACGAAACAGTTCGCGCGGCAGCAGCACATTAGCGCCGAGCAAGATAGTGAGCACGTCGCGAGGAAGAGTAAGGTTGTATGCGCGGAGTGCATTGCAGTTGGCGTGACGGCTCGCAATACGGAAGCGTCTGGGGGTCTTTTGGGGGCCTCCTGGGGGCCTCTTGTGGGCTCCTTGGGGCGTCTTGGCGGTTTCTTGAGGGCCGTTGGCGGCCTGTTGGGGCGCTCTTGGGGCCCCCTGGGGCTCGTGGGGGCGGAAAGCTAGATTTTTGAATTGTTGGTTGCCCTCTTGGGCCCCCTTGGTGCCGTCTTGGAGCCTTCTTGGGCCGTTTTGGGGACCTCTTGGGCCGTCTTGGGGCCATATTGGACCGTCGCGGGGCCGTCTTGGGGGCCTCTTGGGCCGTCTTGGGGCGGTTTTCGGGGCTTCTTGGGCCGTCTAGGAGCGTCGGAAAACCCAGAAGGCGGATGTGTGAACATTGTACGTTTCACGACGGGAATACGTACATGTCTGCGTCCAGGGACCGTCATGGGACGCATCTTGGGGGCCTCTCAGGGGCGTGTTGGGCCATCTGGAGGCCATTTCGGGTGTCTTCGATCGCTATTGGACCGTGTGGGACCATGTTGAGCTCTCTTGGAAGCCACTTGGAGCGCTCTTGGGGCCGTCATCGGGGCTCTCTTGGGCCGTCTTCGGCGCCGCTTGAGCCGTCTCAGCGCCTTGTTGGGCTGTCTTGGGGCCCTCTTGGGGGCTTCTTGGGCCGTCTTGGGGCGGTCTTGGGGGCCTCTTGGGCCGTCTGGGAGCGTCGGAAAGCCAGAACGGCGAATTTGTGGAAAAAAACGCACGCTTTACGAAGGGAACGGGCTAATTTTTGCGTCTAGAGGCACTCTTGGGACGCATCTTGGATGCCTCTTGGGGCCTCTTGGGGGCATCTTGGGCCGTCAGGAGGCCATCTTCGGTGTCTTTGATCGCTCTTGGGCTGTCTGGGACCATATTGAGCTCTCTTGGAGGCCACTTGGGGCGCTCCTGGAGCGCTCTTGGGGCCCTTTTCGGGGCCCTGTTGGGCCGTCTTGGACGCTTGTTGGGCCGTCTTGGGGCCCTCTTGGGCTATCTTGGGACCCTCTTGGAGGTTTCTTGGGCCGTCTTGGGGCGGTCTTCGGGGCCTCTTGGGCCGTCTTGGAGCGTCGGAAAGCCCAGAAAGCGAATTTGTGAAAATTATACGTTTTACGAAGGGAATGAGCCAATTTTTGCGTCTAGGGACCCTCTTGGGACGCATCTTGGAGGCCTCTTGGGGCCTCGTGGGTACCTCTTGGGCCGTCTTGGAGGCCTCTAGGCTCGTCTTGGGGCCATCTTGGGCGTGTGGGAGCGCTCGTTTGGCGTCTCGGGGCCCTCGTGGGCCGTCTTGGAGGCCTCTTGGAGCCTTCTGGGCCCGTCTTGATCCCCTTTTGGGCCCAAAAGAGCCCCGTGGCGCGCTCGTGCTGGGCCCGGGGGGGGGGGGGTCAAATCTCCGGTTTGGGGTCCCTGGGGGGGGGATTATGGGGGGGGAACTATCTCACACGCCTAGAGACCCACAAGGGGTCGGCGGATTTTTGCGTAGCTCGGCCGTCCTTCAGACTCGCGGACTCAGCCGCGCGGCATAGAGGGCCAGAGTGCGTACGGCACTATTCGTGCCAACGTGCTCCTCGCACTCCAGGCCGTCAAGGTCCTCGTGCCGCTCCTCGTGAGCTGGCTGCGGTGCTTCTGTCTCCTCAGGCTCGTTGGATTCGAGGTGGAAATATCCCCGCATGACCAAAGTTGCCCTGGTCGCGCCTCTGGTGGGCGCACTCTTCGAAGGCGTACTCTGGATCGAAGGCGGCCTCGCGCCCTAATCTTGGCATCGCTCGGACGTGTGCATTTTTCCTTCGGCGAGGGCCATCGAGGAGCATCCTTGATCATTTGGCGAAAGAACCACGCACGAAACCGAAAAAAGAACAGGGAACGGACGTCCGAGCGAAGGCGAGTAATCTTTCCGCCTCCTAAAGGTCCTACTCGCCTGAAGCATATCCCTATCCCTGTGATTGGCGTCACCTGATCTCGATGTGAGTCTTCAGGAATCCCTTAGTTTTTTGAGGGCACATCCCCAGGATTGTCGTCGCATCTGGAGAAGAGGTGGGAGACTCGAAGGAAGGGGGGGTCGGTAGCAAATCATGGGAGCATTGTATCTCTCAAAATTCCGTCTTTAGAACTCATGCGCGTCGAGTAGAGATTGGTAATCGATGAGATAGCGGCGATCAGCATCGGCCAGCGTCGATTGGCGTCGATATTGCGTCGATGTTGCGTCGATCAGCGCCGATTCGCAAGAGCCAACACGATGGTACGGGAGGCTCCCAGGAGTTGCCACAGAAGGGCGGGGCGGAGCTCATTTCGACTCCAACTCGATTCGATGTCGATCGCCTCCGATTCCGATTCGATTCGGTTTCGGATTCTGATGTGGATTTCGGTTCCTGTTGTGGCCTTACTAACCAGCCAGTTTCCGCCGATTCGACTGCTCCAGACTTGGCAGTGGCTGCCGAGATCCGCCGATACGATTCATTTCGATCGCTGTGGGGGGCGGGGGGTAGGGGGGAATGGGAGGAGAGAGGAACTTTTTAGATCTCAGGACGTGGACAGGGGACATCAGGGGACAGAGAAGTTGGGAAGGCTTGAGGGGGGGGCAGGGGAGGACGAGCCGGTCAGCGACGGGCGAGCGATCTCACACCAGCAGGGCTGTCACAGCCAAGGGCCCCGCCTCCTGCCTTCGTGAGGGGCACAGGCTCAGAGGAGGGAAAGGTACCCATACCTCTACCCTTTCCTCGCTTTCCCCTTTTTTGGCCTCCTCCTGAGGCCCTCGTCGCCACTGCTGAATTCGCGTCGAAATTCTGGTCAGAACGCACCCCGGGAGATGTCGGGGGAGTAGCGGTATCGGTCCCTTCTAGTTTCCCCACAGCCATGCCGCACGCGGCGCTGCCGCACAGGACTTGACAGGCTCCGCTCCCGCAGCCGTCCGGTGGCGCGCTGCGCTTTCTGTGGCAGGCTGGGGCATTGGTGGCGCCAGTGGGGACGCGGGCCCAAGCTCGGAGGGCACCAACTATACACCAACACCGATCCTGGCCCCAGGATCAACCCTGGGCCCAGGATCGGTGTTGTTGCCTTCTTCTTGCAGCAAGGTTAGTACGCCTATCACGAAGGTCAGGACAAGGATCCTGGCCAGGATCGGTGTTGGTGTATAGTTGGTGCCTTCCTATAAGCGAGCGTGTTCCATTGCTCGAAAGGTGCCTACCCGCAAACGTCCAAAGGAACGCACGTGTGCCTCGATGCGGTGGATCGTAGGCCCCCCGCGGCGGGCCCATGCCACTCACGAGCGGTTACGCTGCCAGTCGTGGAACGCGCTTGCCCAGGGGCGCTTCCCCCCACCACAGAATCTGGTTGCGACGATTCGGCCGCAATTCCGAGGACAGCGCCGTTACGACAGAATCTGTTCTGGATCCCACCTTTTACCGACTCCGGACAGTGAGCGCATGGCCGGAATGTTCTAGTGTTTTGGGCGCTTCGGCCCCACCCTGCAGCACCCGCGCGGTGCACGATGCAGGCCGTTCTTCTTCGTTCTTCTTACATCTCGCTCTGCTCACGGGGTCTCTCCCCCGAGCTCGGCCTCCCTGGGGCCCTCCTGCTGTGCGCCAGAGCTCGGGCTAAACAGTGTTTTGGCGATTTCGTGGACCGTTTTCGTTTTGCTTCCTTGCCGCAGAAAAAGGCAGACAGAAGACGAGGACAACGCAAGCAACACGACACCAAAGCACATTGTTTAGGTCGAACCCTGCTGAGGGCGGACCCCCATGGGTCGGGTATAGCCAGGACCCCGGGTAAGGGGACCCGGTTAGTGGTAGGGCCCTGGGGCCCTTCAACTGGCCAGATTCACTAAACCAGGTTTGCCGTAACTGGTGCTTCTCGGGTGACGGCAGTTCCGGCCAGTGGAACTGGGACGGGGGGGGCGCCCCCGGTACAAATCACTAAACCAGGTTCCATTAAACCCAGTTCTGCCAACGCCCGAATGGGGCCGCGGCCGCGGGGCCCTTGCCGCCGCTGCCCACGAACGGTGTCGTCGCGGGGTGCCCCGGCGCCTCGGCGCGTCGTCGCGGGGTGCCCTGGCGCCTTGGCGCGCGCAGGTTCCCGCGCGTGGTCGCGGGACGACCGCACCGGGCACGTCGGGGGCGGCAAGCAGGGGGGTGACGACAAGGGGGGGGGTGTCATAGCGGGGGGGCAGGAGGTCTCCCCAGACTTCATGGCGCCTCTTCTCGTTTCAAGACGTCCCCAGCCCCACCCCCTGGGCCGCGCACCTGCCGCCGGCCATGATTTGCGCCCCCCTCTCGGACGCCCCCGAGTACGGAAGGCACGGGTACAAAGTCCAACTCGGCGGCGAGCGAGGGGGGAAGAAGTGAGAAGGAGGTGGCCTTCTCAGTGGGCGGGGGGAATTCTCAGAGAAGCCCTCGCGTCCTCTGAGAGGTCTTTTTGTGTCTTCGGGGGAGGCTCAGAAAACTTCTCCGAAGGCTGGTTGACTTCCGAGCCTTCTAAGAGGGCCCGCCCCTTCTTACTTCCCCCCAGGGCGCGCCGCCTACCAACAGCAGTTCTTGTTCATTATGAACAGTGCTTGCTGTCGGCGTCGCGCGGTCGTTCACCTGTTCGAGACAGAAGGCTTCCTGCCCAACAGCGACCGCTGTCGGTTTTGGGCAATATTTGTTGTTGGGCATCGTGACCATTTATCCCCTACTTTTTCGGGCGTTCAAGTGGACTTTGGATTTGCATGTGATGGTGCCAGCACCGCTTGTTGCTCTCGCCTGCCAGGGCACTCCCCGGGTCCTCCGCTCCTCCCCATCTTGCTCCTGTTTACGCGCAGGAGGGGTTCCTGTGCACCGCTTCCTTCATGTTCGGACTGGTACTGACGAAGTGAGCGAACCTTCAGGCGATGTGCGGCCAGGAACCTTGGCTTAGTGCGTCTCGCCGCCGGTTCTGGCCCACCACACTTGGGCACGGAACGCAAGCAACGTCCCCATTCCAAGATGTGAACGTCCAGAGCTTTCCCGAGCCTCCCGCCCCACGGAGCGGGGCGACACGCTGTCCACTCGCATGGCATAGCGTGTCACCCGGGCCGCCGCCGCGACGCGCTAGGCAAAACGTTTCGGACCGCAGGAGCCAAAAGGTGCAGGTGACCCGCAGGGGCGCGCAGGTGATCGCGCGTCGTGAGTCGCGGTCTGGGCCGCACAGGCTCCCTGCTAGGGCGGCCTGGCCAGGGCGCGAAGGTCACCGGGCGTCGTGCACCGCGGGGTGCGATGCGCGAGGTGAGAAGGCCTAGAGGATCCACGCACAAGGTTGTCACGAAGCTGCTGGGGGGGTCCCGGGGAACCCGGGGAAGGCCTATTCAAAAACAGCAGGGGAGCAGGACCAATGAGCCCAGGAAGCCCGAGAAAGGCCGTTTGAAAACAGTAAGGCATCAGGACCAAGGAACACGACACATTATGAAGGAGGCACGACCAAGGAACCCAGAGAACCCAAGGGAGGACTCTTCAAGCATCTTGGGCTAGGCTGTGTTTTCGGAAGGATGACCCAGAAACCCCAGGGAGCCCCCTCGGCAACGAAACGAGGCCGAGGAACCCAGGGGATGCCCAGCGCGATCGCGCCCAGCACCTAGTCACAACCAAGTCAGGACCCCCATAAGGCAAAGCCTATTTTGAGACAGAAGATGAAGAAGCAAGGCCAAGGAACACGGGCAAGGTTCTGTCAGGGAACAGAGCTAAGGAACCTTAAGGGAATCCCATGTGCAAGGGCACACGACCGAGGACCCCCTGGGAAGCCCGGAGCGGCCTGCCTGAGAAGAAGGTTGACGTGGTCGCAGAACCATGGATAAGATCGGACTGAGCAAATTCGGAAATTGCGTTCCAATCATTCAGATTGGGTATGGTAATTTCTTGCATGCAACGTTGGTATTGAGCGTTGTATATTGGGATCTTCTAGGCGTTTCCGGGCGCTCCGTTTCTGGGGGGTCATTTTTGCGAGGTTGCGGTAAGCCGTCGACCTGGTTACCGCCACGCACCTCCTTAGAGCTATCTGAAAAATCTAAAGCTAGGAATGGCTGAGGATGCAACCACAAAGCTTCCAATAGCGTTTTCAAATTATTGAAACAGTGTAAGCTTCAGTTTCAGCGTGAATTCCGTTCCTGGAAGTATTTTGATGTACGTTTTGCAGCTGTAGCCACGATACCCGGACAGACAACCTCGTATCCTCCCACCGATATAGCAGTTTTGCTTTCCCCAGACAGAGCTCAACATCTGTAGCAGTCTTGCACACGCCGAGCCCAGGTCATCACGAAGTTGGAACTGGTCGGGTCGGCCAACTAGCTCCACCCTGCTCCCGAATACCTCTAGCTCAGCTCAGGTTCTCGCTTGAGCTCGTACCGTGAGGCGCAGGAGGTCGGGATGGTAGTCGCCAGTTGGCAGTTGGGAGCGCTGGTGTAGCCAAGGCGCGCTGTACCCGGTCCCTCGGCCACCCCACGCCGAGGCGCCACTCGCGGTGCGCTCGAGGCTCTATCCTGGCGCTGCTGCCTCTCGGAGCCTCGCTGCGCAGGAGCCGCCGAGAAGGGCGAGAAGGGCCCCCACGGCGTGCGCTGCTACCGCAACACCTGCTGGCTGGCCGAGCAGATGCGTTGCTACCCCTGCGAGAACGCCCGGCCCTCGGCGCGATCCGGCGGAGGGCCAGCAGTGCAGGCAGCTCTCGGAGGCCCAGCGGCTCGCACCAGCATCGGTGTTGGCGTTGGCCTCCACCGAAGGAAGGTGATCCTGATCTCCGTCATGGTGGAGATGCTTGGGCTTCCTGGGTGGCCGAGAGTCGGATACTGGAATACATATATATATATATATATATATTATATATATATATATATATATATTGCCAGTGGCGGGCTGCTTTTCAATCCCAGGACTTTTTCAGGGTCAAGGACGACGCTGGGGTGGTGTGGTGTATACTTTGTTCCCCGATGTCCGGGGGAAACAACGAGAAATGTATACACCAGGGTCCCGTATACACCAGGATCCGCTCTCCAGTGCAAATCCCACCGCAGGGCCCGAAGAAGCGTCGGTGTATAGAGTTCGATTTCCTAGAGGGACTGCCACGGGAGCCCCTTCCAAGAGGTTTCAGAGCGCTCCTTCCAGAGGCCTTTGGGAGGCTTTTTTGGCGCTCCGCTGTCCGGGCTTGGGCTCCACAAGCGGACGTCTCAAGTTAGATTGCTTGATGTCCGGTTTTTTCTGGATATATCCTTCTAGAGCTAAAAGGATTGTGAGATTTGAAGCCGGCAGCGCAGGGTAACATTCAGGATCATCTTCCCACGGTGGATGGAAGCTCCTATGGTGTTTTTGGTGCCAGTGTCCAGGTCCCCACGGGTGGAGGCAAAACGAGGGATACGTTTCCAGTATTATCCCCTCGCGATCAAGGCCGTTATTTAGTAAGGGGGGGCGTGATCGCGAAGCGTTAGAACATCCCCTCCGTAGGGTCTTTACAGCTTCCGCTCACCCCCACCGCCCTTTCTTCTGCCCCCGCACACCCCTCGGTCAACATCGATCGACCAACCCCCATCTCTCCCCGTAATCCCTTCCCCCGCTGGCGGACCAATCTTCCTCCTACAGCTTAAGCGTTGGAGTAAGGACCACCTTGGGTTTAGGAGGGGCCATGGTTCGGGCCGCAACTTCTACACAGCACCCCGAGAAGTGATGGGGTGGTCGCGGGGGAGATCGCGGGTGGGTCGATGGGTGGGTCGCGGGTGGGTCGTAGGTTGGTTGCGCGGCGGGGCGCAGGTGGGTCGCGGGGGCGGGTTGCGGGTGGGACGACGACAATCAAAACATTATCCCGGCAAACCAACCTGACAGCGATGTGCAGGAGCATATCTGGGAGCATTCCCCTTCAGATTCAGATGAGAATCCAGTTGTAGAGTTCTGCTGTTCTCGCAGTCGTAGTCGCATTCGCGATGACAGTCGCAGTGGCAACGGCAGTCGCAGTCACAGCCTCAGCCTCGGCCTGCCTCAGCCTCAGCCTCAGCCTGCCTCAGCCTCAGCCTGCCTCAGCCTCAGCCTCAGCCTGCTTCAGCCTCAGCCTCAGTCTGCCTTCAGCCTCGGCCTCAGCCTCATCCTGCCTCAGCCTCAGCCTGCATCAGCCTCAGCCTCAGCCTCAGCCTGCCTCAGCATCATCCTGCCTCAGCCTCAGCCTCAGCCTGCCTCTGCCTCAGCCTCAGCCTGCTTCAGCCTCAGCCTCAGTCTGCCTTCAGCCTCGGCCTCAGCCTCAGCCTGCCTCAGCCTCAGCCTGCATCAGCCTCAGCCTCAGCCTCAGCCTGCCTCAGCATCAGCCTGCCTCAGCCTCAGCCTCAGCCTGCCACTGCCTCAGCCTCAGCCTGCTTCAGCCTCAGCCTCAATCTGCCTTCAGCCTCGGCCTCAGCCTCCGCCTGCCTCAGCCTCAGCCTGCATCAGCCTCAGCCTCAGCCTCAGCCTGCCTCAGCATCAGCCTGCCTCAGCCTCAGCCTCAGCCTCAGCCTCAGCCTGCCCTCAGCCTCAGCCTGCTTCAGCCTCAGCCTCAGTCTGCCTTCAGCCTCGGCCTCGGCCTCAGCCTGCCTCAGCCTCAGCCTGCATCAGCCTCATCCTCATCCTCAGCCTGCTCAGCCTCAGCCTGCCTCAGCCTCGCCTCAGCCTGCCTCACTCATCCTCAGCCGTCACGCTCAGGTTGCTTCAGCTCAGCCCTCAGAACGCCGTCGAGCCTCACCTCAGCCTCAGCCTGGCCTCAGCCTCAGCTTGCATCAGCCTCATGCCTGCAGCTCGCCTGCCTTCACTAGCATCAGCCTGCCCACCTTCAGCCTCAGCCTGCCTCAGCCTCAGCCTCAGCCTGCCTCAGCCTCAGCCTCAGTCTGCCTTCAGCCTCGGCCTCGGCCTCAGCCTGCCTCAGCCTCAGCCTGCCTCAGCCTCAGCATCAGCCTGCCTCAGCATTCAAAATGCGGCCCGGGAATGGAGCTCTGGGAACTCAAAGAACACGTAGTGGCCTACAGTTGGCTCCGGGCATTCAAAATGTGGCCCGGGAATGGAGTTCTGGGAACTCGAAGTGCACGAAGTGGCCTACAGTTGGCTCCGGGCATTCAATATGGTGCCCGGGAATGGAGTTCTGGGAACTCGGAGAGCACGAAGTGGCTTACAGTTGGCTCCGGGCATTCAAAATGTGGCCCAAGAATGGAGTTTTGGGAACTCGAAGAGCACGAAGTGGCCTACAGTTGGCTCCGGGCATTCAGAATGTGGCCCGGGAAATGAGTTCGGGGACTTCGAAGAGCACGAAGTGTGTAACTGTTTGCTTAAAACGACTTCCTTGGATCCTTGTCCGGATGCCGCCCAGACCCCCTTGGGGAGTCATGATGCTGTCTTTTGACCCTATCAGAAACCTATCAGTCCTCGCTGTTAGGTAAAAAAATCCCGGCAAAGCAACCTAACAGCGATGTGTAGAAGCATATCTGGAAGCATTGCTTTGAGATTCATGTAGGAGTCCTGTTGTAGAATTCTGGTGTAATCGCACTTGCAGTCGCAATCGCAATGGCAGTTGCAGTGGCAACGGCAGTCGCAGTCGCTCAGCCTCAGCCTGCCTCAGCCTCAGCCTGCCTCAGCCTCAGCCTCAGCCTCAGCCTCTGCCTAGTAGTAGTAGTAGTAGTAGTAGTAGTAGTAGTAGTAGTAGTAGTAGTAGTAGTAGTAGTAGTAGTAGTAGTAGTAGTAGTAAGTAGTAGTAGTAGTAGTAGTAGTAGTAGTAGTAGTAGTAGTAGTAGTAGTAGTAGTAGTAGTAGTAGTAGTCGTAGTAGTCGTAGTCGTATTAGTTAGTAGTAGTAGTAGTAGTAAGTAGTAGTAGTAGTAGTAGTAGTAGTAGTAGTGGTGGTGGTGGTGGTGGTGGTGGTGGTGGTGGTGGTGGTAGTAGTAGTAGTAGTAATAGTAGCAGCAGGAGTAGTAGTAGTAGTAGTAGTAGTAGTAGTAGTAGTAGTAGTAGTAGTAGTAGTAGTAGTAGTAGTAGTAGTACTAGTACTAGTAGCACTAGTCGCACTAGTAGCACTAGTAGCACCAGTAGTAACATGCAGGCGCTGCAAGGCGTGCCTGTATCCGTGTTTTCATCGCTTTGCATTATCTCCCTAACGCGTTGGTCTGTACCATCGTTTGTACAGCAGCAAAATTGCATGCAGGATGCAGTCTGAGGCGCCTCGTATCTCACTACCCACGGCTACACACGAGTGCAGGCTGAGAAGCACCACGCAAGTGCAGGCTGAGAAGCACCACGCGAGTGCAGGCCACGGCATTGCGCTACACACGAGTGCAGGCTGAGAAGCACCACATCTAGCTTGCCAGAGATCACTCCCAGGTCACCTGATCCCGCAACAACAGCCATGGCGTAGCTGCCACAGGGGCCGCAGACAGCAACGGCTCTGTCACCCAATTGGCGTCATTGTAAATCCTAAAGCGCGTCTGTGTCCATGAGCCTGTGTACCGCGCCTTGCGAGGCACCAATGTGCTGCACGTGTTGTTGCCGTAGCAGAAGACGGCCTCTGGGGCCCAGTGCGGAGTCCAGCGGACAACGTACACCCTGTGGACGCCATCCCGGATGACGTCGCGCGCACCCTCGATCTGCGCCACCCATCGAAGCCAGTCAAAGGCTGAGCCATCGGTGATGTCAACAGCACCTGGGGCAGTTTCGCCATGGTGGTAGTGCAACTTCGTTTGGAGAGCGGCGCTCGCTTCGTCGCGGCCCACAGGCTGGCGTGAGCGGGCGGCCTCTTGCAGGTGCCCCGGTGTGAAAAACAGTGGAGCATCACCGCCAGGCACGGCAGGCTGAGCAGCGCCACCGCCACGCACATCAGGCTGAGTAGCGGCAGCGCTAGGCACCGCAGGCTGAGCAGCGCCGCGTGGTGGACCGATATAGGTGGGCTCATCGGGTCGGCCGCGCTTGTGGTAATGCGAGCGCATGGCTGAGCCGTCCGCGCGAAGGAACTCGAAGAAATGCCTGCCGTGGCCATCCGTGTTGGAGTAGTTTGGGTCGCGCTCGGTCTCGATGATGCGAAAGACAACGCGGACGATGCCCTGGCCGATGATGCGGGCAGCGAGACCGGGATCTTCAGACCGAAGCAGTTGCTTCCAGTCGTACAACGGGTGGGTCGTTTGTCACGTCTGTGAAGGACACGTCGTTGGCAACGCACTGTGTGCGCAGCGTGCGCTGCCACTGGCAGGCGGTCTTGCCACCCATGCCTGGTGCACGGGGGACCTCTTCAAGGTGTGCCCGCTCAAATACCACGTCGAATCCAGGCTGAGGAGGCGGCTCAGGGGGAAGCGGCAGAGGCTCTTCCGGGACATTAGGTGGTGGCGGGGGTGGCTGGGGCGACGCCACCTTGTCGCGTCCTGCCACTGCGGCAAAGCAGGCTGAGGAGCACCGCCGCGGCTGGGCGCACAGGTGGATCTCGAGCAAACTCGCGGCTACGGGTCCCGTCGCATGTTGAGTTGTACAGCCAGCACAGGAAAGCTAAGAAGTGTTCGTACTGGTGGCAACGGCAGTACTTGCAGTAGCAGTACTAGTGGCAATGGCAGCCGGTGGAATAGCAGTAGCTACAGTAGCAGTAGCAGCAGCAGCAGCAGCAACAACAGCAATAGTAGTATTAATAGCAGCCAGA